CGGGTCCCGGGCGGGAAGGGATGCGCGGCGCGGGAGGAGCCGCGGGCGGCGCGGGGCCGGGGCGTGCGTGCGCGCGGGGAGAGAGGTTCGCGGAGCGCCGGGTGCGGGGGAGCCGGCGGGGTCGCGACGGGTGGCGCGGCCGCACGCCAGATGTGTGCGCGTTCCACTCGCGCGGTTGCTGGAGCCGGGTTCCCCCGGAACGGTCACCCGTGGGTTTTTGCATCTCTGATGGCACGCACGAGCCCGAGGCGTTTTCGGTGGAGGGCCCCCCGCGCCGTTGTTGGGGGGAAGAGCGAGCCCCGGGCGTGCTTTGGGGGGAGGGGGAGGGCTCCCCTCGGCCCTCTGCGGGTCTGGAGTCAGGTGGGCTGCTAGCGGTGCTGCAGCCTGCGGAGCCGTGCGCACGAGGAAAAGGAGCCGCGCCACGGCCGCCCTGCTAGCACATCACGTAACCCGAGCGCCCCAGTGCCACCTCCGCTCGAGCGACGCCTCGCTTGCACCTTTGCCTTGTGGATGACACTTAACCAGTTGATTCGTGGCCGTTCAAACGTGCGTGTGCGACTGGACGGGTTCCCTGCGCGTTAGCCGGGCCGGGGAACCGTCCGCTTGCAGGTCACACGGGGCTTTGGGAAGCTCCCCGAAGATGCGCGATCGGTGCCGCAGGGGGCGGCGGCGGAGGAGCCGCACATCCCGGCTGCACCTTCCGCGTTTGAAGGCACTTGACCGCATCAGCGGTTCTGTACAGGATGAATGGAATTGCCGCGAACCTTTGCCTCCCTGTCGGATTAAACCTCCATTTGAGTCGTCTGCTCGGTGCTGTCTAGGCATGAACTGCAGATTCGGAACTCAAAATGGTGCTCTGTGCGTGTCCAACTTGAGCGCCTGGAAGGAGTTGCGAGTTGGAGGCATCTGGCTGGGTTAATCCATTGTGTGGCCGACGGTCGGATTTTCCCCGGACACCGCGGTGCTGCGGTCGGTGTAGGTGGTCAGTGCGCGGCGATCGCTGTGTAGAGACGGCTGCGTCCCCGAACGTAATCTGACCCGCAGAAGGCTTATTGTATGCAACTTGTTTCCTGCGTTTAGAATCCAGTAACTGTGAGGATGCGTTGGAGACCCTGGAAACGTGGCTTGAGTGATCTCCGCGGACAGCGGACGGTTTGAAATATGTAGGGGTGTTGACAGTTCTGTGCATGGATTCCAGACTTCCTTCGGTCCTGGGAGACAGAGTAGAGGAAAAAAACTTAGCCCCGGGCCAGATGAACTTGGTTGGCTGAGGGCACCTTGAAGACAGTTGCATTATCCGCCCCCCCCCCCCCCAACCCGAACCATGGAGGTGGTTCGGGTCTTTGAAAGCCTTTCGGTGCAGCGCTCCCAGGATGCTTTGCTGGGGGGAAATGATGCTAAATGAGGTTTTAAAAATGAGCGGCCCAGTTATGTTACCCACGCTACTTTTATTGTTGGTATTTACAGAAGATAATAATGGTCTAAGTAGCTGCTACTTTATTTACCTACCCTGAAAGTTAGTTTTTTCTACAGAAACTTTTTGATGTTTGCGTTTTATAAGAATAGAGGTTCTTAGTTAGAATCTGTTCTTTCACACGTTGGGTCATGGGAAATTGATAGCTCAGAAAATGGTAAAAGTATTGGTTAAGTTAAACTTTACTTCCGGTGATGTAGAATAATTTCTTAAAGTTAGCATTTCCTTAAGCAAGAGAGAATGGACCCATGGGTCACAGGTGTTTTGTACATATATGTTCAGACTTGATTTTATTACGAGGATCTAGTTTTCAAAGACTGATTCTAAGCCTTACGTGTTTCTTGTCCAAACGGAAGACCTTACCGATGGGCACCTCTGCTTTACTATTAAACCATTAAACTAAATAAGGTGGACACTGAGGCTGTCATAAGGCGTAATCCTCACTGTTTCATTTTGGAATCTGGCATTTAAATATTTTAGTAGTAACCTGGGTACATGTAAATGTTGACTTCAGGTTTTTCTTCTTAACAATGTTTACTACTGTTGTTCTTTTTCAAGTGGCATATGTTTTAACACTTTGACAAAGATTATTTTGTAGCAGGTTTATATTTATACTTAGTCAGCTCAGGAGTTTTGGAACAAATAGTTGCATTAGCGTGCTGATTATGAGGGAAAGTAGGGGTGCACGGGTTCATTGGACCCACGGGGATTAAAACAGAAGTAAGGCATGGGGGAAATCTCCTTTCAAATTACAGTATTTCTCACCACCACCACCACCACCTTTTGGTTAAACAGCCGGCTCTACTGAGATAAATTTGTGCTTTTCCAAATGCTGTCATCTGGCTCACTTCCAAAACCAAGCTGGAGGAGGAGGAGGTCAGGGCTGGAGTGGGGCGGCCTTTTTCCTCAGTGAAGAGAGCTTTCAGTTGGAAAGAAATGGAAGATAAGATTCCTGGAGCACTGGCTGCAAATGCAATGTTTGCATTACTGCCCCAGCTTCAAGTGAGGGCCAGGAGGTCTGAGTGTAACCTTATTCTTGTTTGACTCAAGAAAATGATGCTAATCTTAAATTTTTAAAAATAGAGTACTGGTGGAGATTAGTTTATTTATCCATTATTGGATTGGAGTATACGGAATGTCTTGGCATCCTAGAACTTTCCTCACAACATTTTACGGCTTACGGGCCATTTTAAAGACTATTTGTGGGTCTCTAGGGCCTTCCCCAGTAAGCATTAGATCCATGAGATTACATCGCACGCGTATGTTTTAGATGACCCTACCACTCAGTCAGGGTTTATTGTGCAGAGGTTGCTGTCTGAGAAGATTTTATAAGGAAGAAAATAGATTGTCAACTCTGAGACCGTTCCCCATATCAGAACAACGTATGAGATCATTAAGATTTGGGGATGCAGCAAACACAGATTATCTAGCCATCGCAACCGAAGCCCCAGGGGCGGGGGTGGGGGAGCATGAGAAACGGAGAGGAGACAAGGGACAGATTTATGGAAGGCCTTGGAACCAGGAGGAGGATGGGTTGAGGGAGCAGGAAGTGGAGCCTGGAGCAGGCAGAGCCTAGAAGGTCTAAGTAGGGGGAAAACCAGGCAACTTTGTTTTGTGTTTGTTTTCTTTGAAATTCTTACGGCTCCTTATTCATGGTTTTGAGAGAAGTGGGTTTTTACCTTTCGTGCCAGCTTTATTTCAGAGGGTCTCTTGGTGTTAAAAATGAGCTGTAAGGAAATCTTTTGAAGGAGCATTGGTGCTGCAATCTGTTTTGTATGATGACTGGATTATTTGCTTAATTAAGACAGTTAGCACCTTAATCTTGTTTGGAGACGTCATGCATAGATGTAAGTAGAAAGAGCAGAATATCAAATGAGAACTGGCCCCTCCCCCCCTTTTTTTCCAGGTAGATTTTACAGATTTTCTTTAAGCCAGTCTAATCACGGATATCTAAGTTTTTACAGATTAGCTTTAAAATAATCGTGTAGTCAGTCATGAGGAGAGCATTCTTTGCTCTGCAAAATAATAGACCGTAAGCTTTCTTTAGATAAATTTTTAATGCAATAATGATGTTCTCAATTATAAACATCCAGCTTATAAACAACTTTTCAAGAATATAATTACTTAAAAGTGTAAAGATTACCTGTCAGGAAAAAACTATAACCTTGTGTAGAGATTGCACGTGTGATGTTGAAACCAAGAAATAATGTAATCCTTGCCCAGTGAACTTGTTTGAATAACTTGATTAAGATAATCCTGTAAGTTTCCTATTGTGCAAAGCATGCGTTTCAACAGTAACTTACTTAATGAAAAGTAAAATACGTATTTTTAAATTCTCCAACTGGGATGTGACAAGGTTTGCATATTAAAAACGTGGTGAAAATTCATACCCTTTGTGCCATTTTTAGAGTTGACTAAAAATGAATTCTTTTCTTGGCCACGGATGCTTTCAGAGAATGAAGAAGCTCTTGCAGGGATGGAGAGCTGTTTGTTAAGAATGCCTTCTCCCTCTGTAGCCCTCCAAAGGCTGCAGAGCTGTGCGTGGAGCGAGACAATCTGGGCACCCAGCCATAAAACATCACTGCTGAAGCGCAGATAGCTGTTCGCGCCCTCCTGCGCCCTCCCGGCTGCAACCACAGCAGAAGGAATGGCCTTGGCAAAGCAGTGTTCGCTGCTACTTTGAACTCTTAATACTCCATGTGGCTCTTTGGAGCTTTCGCCGTGCACTGGGACTTTGGTATTCGAAGATACAGTAATGATTAAGGATGGGCAAGAATACAGCTTCTGAGATCTGTCTCTTCTAGGCCAGTAGATTTACATATTTGCTCTAAGAAGTAGGAGTAGTGGGTTGTCTGTCCCGTGGTCTCCCTTTCTTTATTTGCCTCTTTGTCACAACACTCCTCTCCTGTGGGAAGAACAACCTGCCTGAAGACAGGTAGGGTCACTGGGCCACTGGGTCACAGCACCCAGGGCCCAGAGGGTCATCTGGAATCTGTCCTCCAGAGAGCTAACCAGAGGAATTGGTCTGTCATGGCCCGGTTCCCACTTTGCTTCCTCATAAGCCTTTTTTCACACACACACACACACACACACACACACACACACACACACACACAAAATTGAAAATTAAAAAAGTTTTTGTGCAAAAATATGACAGTGGAAGAGTGTGCAGATATATCAGCTCATCAGCATTATAAGGTTACAGCATTTTCTGTGACCAACATCTGTTCATATAGATCCATGTGATCCCCTGTGATCCTCTAAAATACAAACACCTGAACAGCTCTTTTCTTCTTTAAAGACCCTCTCTGTTGCCCTTCTTTGGAGCGTTTGAGAAATTAATACTCTTATGTCTTCATAATGCCCTTCCTGCGAAGGCCTGAACTGCAAACCTGCAGTATCACAGTGTCCAGCCGGATTATTCTCAGCAGGGGGGTGACCCCTGTCTGTGGTGGAGCCCCTTGCTAAGGTGCAGACTGGCCAGTGTCAAGGTGCTTTTTGGGGAATATGTGCTTTGTTGGGTTCATTTTATGTGTACAGCGTAGCTCATTAAGAAGAGTGTCTCTCTCGCAACTAAAATCAGTTGCTTGAGTTGAGCCTGACAAAGGTATTGTTTACTTTCTATTCCCAAAGATAATTTCTTTTTAATTACTCTTTTAATAAGCGGGGAGAATCTAAGTTAAATTAGCAACTGGGAATTAAAGTTAAGATCTGCGATTGGGAAATGGCAGCGTTGGTACAATTTACCACCTTTCCAACCATTCGTGCTGTGAAAAGATGTTAACGGAGTTGTTCAGAAATAACAGGGGCGGGGGGGATGCAGAACTGCTCCTTTGCAGTCTGTTTTCTCACACTGTGTACAAAATAAATGCGAAAAAGGAAGGGAAAGTGTGTAGGAAGGGAATTTAACAGGGTTTGTTCTTCAGGAGGGTGATGTTTTAAATGAGCGGGTTTGGGTGGGAAGACGATGAGGTGAGGGAGGAAGGTGATGGCTGTGTGGAAGGAAGGATGTTTGAGTGTCTGGGGGACAATGGAGAATTGGGGATGGGGAACAGGGGCATGTGCGGGTAACCAGGCCTCCACTTAAAATAATCTTCAGGGGCTCCTGGTGGCTTAGTCAGTTAAGCGTCCAGCTCTTGGTTCCGGCTCAGCTCATGATCTTGCGGTTTTGTGAGTTCGAGCCCTGTGTCAGAGCCTGCTTGGCATTCTCTCTCTCGGCCCCTCCCCCACTTGTGCTGTCTCTGTCCCTCTC